AACAGGGGCAGTGAGTTATCTCTTCTCTACCACGCGTACACTTCTTAGAACCCGTCCAGCCTCATTTTCATGGGGTCCCTTGGGTTTTTTTCAGTGGGATTAAACCGGCTAGAACATGAAACTAGCCAGTCGCCTTCAAATAATGTCAATGTCTAGAATGCACGGAGTTATGCTTAACTCCCTCAAATATAAACCTTCATGTCGTGGTGTTTCAATGCGGGACTAACTTCATTGTCACGGAATTACGAACGAAATGCCGATTTTTGGTATTGTAACGCGTGATACATAAGTTTGCAGGCGAAGTCACGCAACCTTGCGGCCTGTCTCTGCCTGCTGGTTGGTTGAACCGTATGTCACTTGTGCATATACGAGTCCCAGGATACACATCGATACTCAGCTGAGGGACGCCGTTTCCCGGGTGTCTGTATGTTCCTGTTGTATTTATTTAACCCTTTGAAGCCGAAGATCGTGTGAATATTATTTATGAATTCAGTCCGTACCGCGAAGAAAACACTTCACCTCACCATTACGAAAATCAGCTGGTTAACCCTTTGAAGCCGAAGATCGTCTGAATATTATTTATGAACTCAGTCCGTACCGCGAAGAAAACACTACTCCTCACCATTACGAAAATCAGCTGGTTAACCCTTTGAAGCCGAAGATCGTCTGAATATTATTTATGAATTCAGTCCGTACCGCGAAGAAAACACTACACCTCCCCATTACGAAAATCAGCTGGTTAACGACGTTGTCAGCGACTCGTATTGCACAACGTTGAATTATAGGATGATTAGCGAATGATGAATTGGAAGGAAGAGATTATGGTTTATTTCATTAAATCTCTCGGCAGTAGTTGGAGGAACGTCTCTGTGCCGATGTTTGAACTCGAGACCTCCCGAATAGGCCCACAAAATAAGAATGTTACTCAACGAGTCGCGACGTTTGTTCTGTGATCTGTGCATTTACCAATTTATCATGAGTGAAATCATTTGCAAGGTACTCCATGAAACAGAGAGATCTTCTTGCGAATCTGATAGTCGTTAGTGATATTTCAGGCTCCCACGGGCGGCGAGTATGAAGGTTGACTGACTTCTTAAGATGACAGTCATCTTCTGTCAAGAAATTCCTCGTGTACCGAACCCAGGCCTGAGCCAGATTAATCCATTTCATGTCTCGCATGTGATCTCTTCTTTTCAGATTAACATTTTATGATTTTGTTTCGTATTTTGTATATTTTTTTAAAGACAAATTGGAGACTCGAGCGTTAAAAACCTACTGGAATTAATGTAGTGGACTACAGTCGATGTAATGCGGAGAGATTTCTCCACAAGTACAGTTCTCCAGAACTACGGTGACGCATCACAAATGAGTGTGTAATGATTCAGTCAGTAACTTCAACTTTCTCTGACTGCCTCGTTGCAATATCTCGGAATTAGAGTCTGATTCAGTCGTTTGCCAATGTCTTGTAACTTTGTACATTTGTTTCTGTGGGTTGTGACCTTGTATGGACTCGTTGGTAGATACATGTCAACGTTTTGTCTTCATCTTCAAGGTTGAAGAAGGATAATTAGGGATTTGAATATTTATATAATGTCAGAAGAAGGAACGCTCGGGAGAATTAGTCAAATTTTGTTTATATCCAGCACAAGTTGAATCTACAGAGAAAAGATGATAATTGAAGTAATCAGGTTATGATTGTCTTCTTACATCCAATATACCAACTGACTAAACTATTGCAGATCTAATGCCGATTAAGACGTTCACGACTTTATACGGTTTCATGGTGTGGTGCCTAGTACAAAGGAAAACTGTACTTTACACGTTACGCATTAACGAATAAGTTGTTGAATGCCTATGATATTCAGGGCTAACGTAGGTAATGTTTGTAATGAGATTTCGTGTTCTGGCATAAAAATTGTTGTGAAGAATCTTATCTTACGTAGTTCCTTTCCGTGGGAAATTTTATCAATTCGTTTGCATTCTTTATTTGTACACGCCCTCCGACTTCAACATGTTCGATGTAGCCATCCAAACGGTTGAAGATTAATAGTACATGTTATTGTAACCGCCCTTCAACACACGACTAGTCTTTCTGCTGATGTAGCCACGGGTTCAAACCCAGTAGCTTGCCCGGCGCTCGTTATACAATTTTCTCAAGGTCCTGTCACTTATTCTCTTCAAGGTCCAAATATCCTCATCAGCACCCTGTTATAAAACACGCCCTGTTCTCTCCTTGTAATGACAGACTTAGTTTCACGCTAAGTAACCATGTCCCAAACTTCAGCTTTCAAAGATGAAATGTTGAAAATTATCCAACGTCTCAGTAAACATTGGAGTTGTCATCTCCAGGGTTAATATGTGATTGAAAGCTTTATATTGGACAGGCAGTAGGTGGCGAGTTGTATTCGGTGGTGCTGATTGGTGGCGGGTGATTTCGATTTTCCACCACGGTGGTCTAGCGGTTAGAACGCTGGCCTTGTAATCCTGGGGTCTCGGGTTCGATTCCCGGCGGTGCCCGAATTTATAACTTGTGTTGGGCAAGGCCGTGGTCTAGGCAACACGGAGTTTTCCTCCGTGGCATCCCAACAATTACTCCATTCACACACAGAAGAAGGCAATGGCAAACCACTTCTGGATCATCTGCCAAGAACGTATATGAACAGGTCCCAGTCCGAGAAGAGAAAAGGATGGAAGGATCCTGTTCATATGGACCTGTCGTCAGACAGAACACTAAATAAAAATAATAAAAATTCCTTGAAGGGACTGAAACAAGTCTACATTGGACTAAAAGTTGCAGAACTGTTCGCACTGCCTTCTTGTCTGTTTCACAAGTTCGGATGTTTTATTAATTGGAAAAGTCTACCTAATCTATGTATTTTTAAATGTGTTCCTGTTTACATAAATCTTCTCGCCGCCATGTTTCATGTTTCCAGTAAACTTTCTTGTCACTGGAACCAGTTCAATGCCATAACTCTGCTACTTCAAGATACAGTTTTAAAAGAAGATGTCTCTTACGCCTTATCCATGTTATAAACAATTTCTGTTAAATCAGATGTCGCAAATATTTTATACAAGAGAAGACGTGTTGTAGGCGAAATACGTGTAGGTACAGTCTAACTTTTTTAGTGTGGTCATTGTCAATTTAATGCGCAGTGATTTTGTTTGAATTGCTAATCAACAGATAGCAGGCATATAAAAGGGCGTGTAGGTTAGGTTAAGTAACAGCTGTGTTTTAGTTACATTACTTTATTATTCTTTTTATTATTGATTTTTTTAGATATCGCAGGTTCATCTACAAAAAATATAGGATGTTTATAAGTTTTGTGTTGATAGAAATGTGGACGGATTGAAAGGTTTGTTGTTTAGTTAGAATATCCGACGAAGCAGTAACTTCCTTAGCTGAGGTTTTCAATGGTTCGGACAGTCGTACAAGTCGAATGACTGTACCTCGAAAGAAGATGATACCGTATAATTTTTCTCTGAACATTTTCTTATTATTCGTAGCCAAATATCCCTCTCAACGGATACAGCGTTAATAAATTTAAAATAAACCTTGAGACAGATCAGGATAATTTTCGTCATCCTTTACAGTTTAAGGTATAAAATAGATCAAGAAATTCGCCCACGGTTTCGTTAAGCAAAGCAACACGCAAACAAGATACATCCTAAAAGCGTACGGAAATGAACGACAGCTGAAGTAGTTTTGACGATAAGGTAAAAAGAATTGAACGAGCCCAATTACAAGCACCGGGATTCGTAACGTGAGTTTTCCGCTCTCCGTGCGAATTAAACGACACGTCATTCAACTTTTGTGTACGAATTACCGACTGTAACTGTGGAAATGGATCGACGGAGGCGGTTAGCAACTCAGAAACGTCGGTAAAATTTTTTTTACGAGAATTACACGACGGAATACGTAGGAATCTTAAAATCTCACTTTTACCTGGTTTACAATTTTTAACTCTTCAGACATAGCGAACGCAGTTTTATGTTTCATTTGTTGCAGAAAGATGGCGCTGTGACTGGTTGATGGAGTGGCTTGAAGGGAGTTCAACAAACTTGCACGGGATATGAAGCTGGTGCACTCTTACGCAGTTTATGAATAATTCGTGGTTCCAGGGTTGGTTTGCAAACCCTCACATCAACACGAGTGTAAGTTTCCGTCATTTGTTCTCGTTAGTTTGTAGTTATTAACATGTCAGCATCGAAAATGGTTTTTTTTCTTCAAAGAATCAAGTTTTATTACTACGAATTTCAACTCTTGTAAAATAATTTCGATAAATCTTTACTGTACTCGAGGCGAATCTGTACGTTATATGTCCGTTAGAAGTAAAACGCACCAGGTTTCAGAGGGTGGGAGGGGTCACAGTTATGGAATCGTATATTGTCCATACTACAGGGTGGGTGAGAAGTAAGTAGGCATTGAGAAATGGTTATAATCTTTATATTTCTAATGCAAAGCGATTATTTAACGTCTACTTACTTCCAACCCACCCTGTATAAACATTATTTCCCAGTAGCAGGTCTTTGTAACTCGCTGTCTCATTTCCCGTGTCGATAATGCTTTGGGTTACATAGTACACGAGTTTGTTTTCATTCTCCTTGTGACGTAGGCAAAACACACAGTTTTTCCTGTGTACTGTAATGTTTCTTACTCCGGAGAAAATGTTTTTGACCTTGGAAGTCCGATGACAGTAAATCTTTGGCTTGTAATTTTTCAATTGAAAAGTATTTCTTAAAACGCTGAATTTTTATATTTTTTTGACAAGATCGATATATTCCCTCCACCGTCATTGTATTTTTATTAAAAATGTTCGTCAACATTTTGAGAATTTTTGAAATGTGAGTGGTTAACATTCGCCCGATGACGACTACAAGAACTGAAATGTTGTGGGACCAGTTCTATTAGATTGTTTACACTTCTGATTCAGTCATAGGCACTATTTAAAAAAGATAGACTGGAGTTTGTTGATGAGACGCACAGACATTAAGACGTAGGAAGGGTCAGACAGGTTATATTTCATTATATCAAGCACTGGTAAACGTAAATGAGATCGTAATTCAGCAGTCGGTTGTATTCTTACGTTCATCGAAATCACTGAACGTGCGTTGGGCGTCTGTGAAGTGCTACGTTGTTATTCCCGTGGAAAAAAGTGAACTTTTTGTAATCTGAATTAAATCGCCGAGTCACAGTTCTTCGTGCAGTAAAGCTGGTTTGATAGTGAGTACAGAACTTTAGTTAATTTAACCCTTTCAATGCTTATAGTTTTGATGCGTCATGTTTGTGTTTATAATTCAACATATATATTTATTATTCAAGTCATATACACAAACTTTTAAATTTTGATGTTTTGATGTTTTGATGATATTATGTTCTTACTTTTACATGAATTTTTATCACAATATCCAAACTCATTTTCATATAAATAATATTAATAACTCAAATATTAATTATATTATTAATAATTTCACAGAACAATGAACAACTAACATAATATGCAAAATAATAAGAAGACCAAAGAAAACACCTACAATAGTAAACTACAATCTACAATCAACGAAAAGCTTGCATTAACAAATATAGAATAGTTTTTAAATATAAAAACCTGAAGATGATGCTATGACATCGAAACATGTAGAAATATTAAAGCGCAACATTGTAACATCGAGATAACGATGAATGGCGCAGAATATCAATTTTAAATTTTAAATTTTAAATTGTAACATCAAAATTTAAAAGTTTGTGTATATGACTTGAATAATAAATATATACTTTCAATGCTGTGTATTTTTCAAAAGAACATTCTTTTCATAGCATGTGTATGGTAAGGTACAATTATTAATGTTCGAATGCCATTGATGGTTGTTAAGAGATGCAGGGACATTTATTTAAACACCAAATAAATTCAGAACGATGGTACTTAACTACTCTATTGTGTATAGCCTGGAAATCGTTGTATTTGTGTGTTCATTTCCATTATCTTCTAACCTGTTTATAGAGATATCCTGTTTTTAGCTAGATATTTACCTAATCTACGAAGATTTTTGTGATCAACTTTTGTTTCTTGGGATTGCTAATCCTGTACGCAGTTTGTCGGACATTCTGCCATGCTATTACTGGCTGCAGTATTTTATCCGCTACAAGCTGTCATCTTCCAGATCGATACTCATATCTTCATCGGAGCCTTTTGTTATAATCAGCTCAAGTCTTGATCACGGAAACATAATTTTATTTTTAATTTATTTATTTGCCATGTGTAAATGTCATGATGACTATGGTTGAAAAGTTCTTGTCATCAAAATGTGTTCTTTTTGACGTAAATACGTCTATATTTTAGGATGGTTACCTGGGAAACTTCATCTGTTTATCAACAAATCGACAATAATGGTTACCTAAGGAACATCTGTTTACTCGGCATTGTTGTTACCTATAAAACATTACATTTCATTACATTCAGCTACCACATACCCATCTTAAGCGTAACTAATTTAAGTTAAATAAGCAAAGTCTTAATCAAACTTTACGCAGTTGTAAAGCAGGTATAAAGGAAATATTTAGAATAAAGCCAATATATAAACTTCCTCTCCGTATAGACGTATTTACGTCTAATTCTCCGGAACCGTGGTTCCACTGTCAACTTTTTATAGATTCATACGCAGTAAGGTTAGAACCATTCATTTGCGCAAGCGCACGTGTCTAGATTTTTATAAGAGACATTACGCGGCGGGGTTTATATGTCCATATTTAACCCACGAGTTATTCATTTTGTCCAACGGTGATTTCGTGAGGAACTCTTCTACAGCCAAATATTTGGGATATTTTTACTTAAGGTTTAATAATGAATTAATCGAATGATCACTTGATTATGAGTGTCATATTTCGTCGATTCAGGAACCGGGAAACAGACTACAAGCTACACCTCCGAACAAGTTGGCTACAAAATTAGTTTATTGTTTCCAGTCTCATGCCCAGTGCTGTACGTAGCCAGGCAAGGTATGCTGATGGTCGAAAAGGGTAAACAGACACACGTGGACCGGAAATAATCAATCTTTGAGTCCAGCAACGAGTTCTTAATTAGAAAGAAACTAGTGAAGGGGAATTTGTGACGTCACTCAACGAACGAAAAATAAACGTTTTGCTTGAAATGTGGACTCTGCGTTATTTATGAAGCAGAAACCATGAAAATTGGTTCGACAGTTTTTTTTTGTAAATTTCTCCAATACTAACCATTTAAACCTCAGTGGTAACTATATGTACCACCTGCTCGGACAGTTGGTATATCATCGTTTTATATTTATGGATTTTATAATTATTCTCATTTAAAACGGAGGTTATGTCCTTAAACAGAATTAAGCATTTGATCTTTGTATTTATAAAGTGTTGTTTTCTTTGAGGTAGGGACTGAATTCTTAAATGTTAACTTTCACGAGCTTCGACTTTATGGGGGTTAATTGTAATTAAAATCTGATTATCCGTTCTTTAGTTGGTTCATGTGAACAGAATATGATCACACTGTTCGTTAAATCAGAAGATACGCTGGTAGACGTTTCGGTATTGAATTTTGAAGATAATTGCTTGGGGCGTAATCCGTAAACGCTCAAGAACAGGAAATTTCTGTTGTTGGCTCATGAAATAGAATTAATTTTTCTAGACTTTCTTCTCTCTCGTGGTCAGACCTGTTTCCAGTCTCTCTGTAACTACATATATTTTGCAAGGATCATCAGATAAGAAGAATGTCTCTCATGTACAGCTCCAGATTTGATCTGAATGGCTTTGGGCTCCTTCGATGTCTCCGCAGACATGCTTCTTAACTCCCTTCTGTTCCTTTTATAAGTGTGTTTAAGTGTTATCAGACGTATCTTCTAATCTCCATTATTACTCAAAAATATAGAAATTATATCACTTCGTGATTTAATATTATCTAAATGGGCTAATTCACATTACATAGTGTAAGTGGTTAGATGCGAGAAATTAAGGATTCTCTATTCTTCTTCGTTTATTTAAAGAATCTTTTTCCAACCCAGTGGGTTAGGTAAATACAAAATATTATAATTTGTACTTTTAACCAAATAGAGCGTGTTCCAGAAAGATACATACGAGGTGCGATCGGAAAGTTTCAAGACTGTGTCAATAGAGGGCGAACCGGATGTAGTACGAGCTTATGCCGCTAGGGGGTGCGGCCTACATTCATAGTGAATCAGTGTGCCAGCCGGCATCATCGAATTAGCATTTGTTTCTTAGTTACGGGCGTTTTGGTAGTGCATTACACCGACCCTCCTGCGATTTCGGAATGGCGGATTTTCATGAGTTGAATGAATGAAATAAATACATTTTAATAAAATAAACCGTTATATACGTGGCACTTAATGAAGTAGGAAATCTAGTGGTTTTCAAATTGACCACCGTTAACTTCTTGGCACAGTCGATCGATAGAAAAAGTTAACATTTCTTATCGTAATGTTTATACATTTTTTTTGGGGGGGGCATTCTGTATTACTTGTGTGAATATATATTTGTTTAAATTTCGTCAGTCTAATCACAATAAAATTCCTATTAAATATTAAAATATTACTATAATTAACATTTAAATATTTAAAATATATTAAATGATGTTCTCTATCGAAATGTTCGATTTATACATTAGATCATCACTTTTTTACACGACATGTTTCAGTTCTAAAAGAACCATCTTCAGGCGTATAAAATTATATAAACTTAAATATAATTTCTTAAATGCAACTTTTAGTCAGATGTTTATCAGATTTCAAATGAAGTTATCTTCCAGATTTTATTGTATTTTTTAATATCGTATTCGAAGTTGTTCCGTATGTACGTCGTGCTTAACATGATTTTGTGTGGGTGAACGTTTTGTTGTTGTTTTTGTATCATCCTGTAAAGTAAATAATATAAATACTAAATGAATATTAATAAATTAGAAACATAAAATAAAATAATATATTTGATAATTTGATTTTGAAACATACCAGAAATGTGTGAATATATAAAGAAGGACGATATGTGTGGGACGTACCACGAGCGGATAAAACAATTGCATGCACAATTCTAGTTGCAAAGGGAGGTAACAGACCACGTCGAGACCTAGCGGTAAATTCGAAGGATAATATTAAAATGGATCTTAGGGAATTTGTATTGGAGGCTGTGGATTGGGACGGATGATGAGCTCATGCGAAAGTAGCAGTGGATTTATTGACAGCTGAGCGACTGTCAGATTCTCAAGGATTATGAATTTTGGAGTTAGTATACTAGTACAGATAGTGAATTGAAATTTGTGACGACAGTAACAGTAGCGTAATACGAGGTAATCTCCGTGGATTTAATCCGTCTGTTCTGACATCGTAGTAATCTCTTTCAGTCATTGTTCACTCTTTTCGTATAGATTAAACATTTTTATCTTTCGTCCGTTCCTTCATTTGTCGAATATATTTTAAATCTTCCATATAGCTTTGATTTAAGTTTTATGTAATCTGATAAATCCCATGGCTCTCGTATCTCTCATTTTCGATAATTGAATTTAACTTATATTTTATGTTCTTCTTACGTCATGTTTCACTTTAATATAAAAGTTTTGGAAATGTGGTCAATATTCGACGCCACAGCCGTGTGTGACGTCACGTCCTTTGGTTTTCAGAACCTGAATGTAATAACAAGTAACAATAATTTACTGTTTACTTCACGTTGAGAGATTACAGTACAAAGATGCGTTGTAGGAGGCTGACCTGTACAAGTGTTAAAATGTCACGGCCATCTTGTATGGTCTCACATTTGTGTCGACACTTTAAGCTTAAACTCGTGTATTGAATATGTAAACAGTAAGAATACGGTTTATATAGATTAGCCTAACAAATGAAGAAACTTTTCTTTCAGTTTTAAACCGCATTACACTAATTTTTGTGTAAGATTTAAGCGTTGGATCAACCCTTATTTGTCATTTTAATAATCTGTTCATCTCAACTACCTGAAATGTGAATTTTTTTTTCAATAATTTATGTCAAAGTAATTGTTCCTTCCCGAATTAGGATAAAAAGTTTCCTTGAAAAATCTTTTTATTATTATTATTTAGTGTTCTGTCTGACGACAGGTCCATATGAACAGGATCCTTCCATCCTTTTCTCTTCTCGGACTGGGACCTGTTCATATACGTTCTTGGCAGATGATCCAGAAGTGGTTTGCCATTGCCTTCTTCTGGG